AATCAAAATAATATAAGATACTTACTATAATTAAAAATAACAATCAGTAAAATAAATAGCAAATAGAGATTTAATTACTAATATTGCATTGTTTACCAACCGTTTCGAATGCATCATACATAGTTGTGGCTATCACTCCCCGCGCGCCACTCTTAAGCCAACCGGAAACATAAAGTCCTGGTACCTTGTAATTTGATGTAAGAACAATTGTTTTTTTTTTTTTTTACAACCAATAGCGAAGCGCCCGTCATAAAATCTTCAAGCCGAATTACATACCTCGTTCCCATCCAAATCTAACACCTTTCCTCTATCATTTGGTACTGTTCCCTTTTTTTCGTCAAATGGAACTCCATCCAGCGGTACGCTGATATATCCAAGGCTCTTGATGACAAGCCCGCCCTCTATCTCTTCTGTAACTCCAGTTGATACGGCAACTCTCTTTTCAGGTGGACCTTCAAGTTTATTCACGTTAAACTTAACCGCATAAATATTTCGAGGACGGAGAGAATTGACATCATCATCACGTACTATGAATTCAGTTGGGCTTCTCAAAAACTTGAGTGTCCATGACTTTTCCCCGATGGTGTTAGAAATGCCACTTTCTAGGATTTGCATCAAACGCTTCAAAGGACGATTGTTGGAAACGTACTCAGAGTTCTCGCTAATTTCTTCTTTCAGCAAGTCAAAGTCAGTGTGAAATCGCGTGTTCGGTATGCGCATCATCTCACGTAATTCCTTGGCCGTGAAAGAAATCTATGATTTTTGTTGAATGTCCCAAGATTGAATTAACGTGAATTCAATCCAAAGAAACGAAAGTGATAAATCACGAACCTGTAGGGGCCCCCTTCTTCCTACAAGTATAACATTACGTATTTGACTTTTCCTTAGGACCTCTAATGCATATTCAGTAATGTCGGTTTTACTCAATTTCTCGGTATCCGTCAACAATATCCTAGACACGTCCAGAGCGACATTACCGTGACCAATCACGATGGCGGTATCTGTGCGTGTGAGATCTGGTTGCAAGTCTCGGTACTGGGGCAATCCGTTATACCAGCCGACAAAGGCACGCGCGAAAAATACATTCTCGATTGGATCATTTTCATTCTGAATACCAAGCGGTTTGTCTTGACTTGCTCCGTATGAGAAAACAACGGCATCATAATGTGCTCTTAGATCTTCTACTTTGAGTTCTTTACCATATTGTACGTTACCAATGAAAGCATATCGAGGGTCACGTGCGACTTCATCGAATCTGTGTTGAACATTCTATTGCATTGGTTACCCACGGAACGAAAAAAGTTTGAACCATAACACAACATACCTTAACCTCCGGATGATCGGGCGCGACACCATAACGGACCAATCCGAATGGGACAGGAAGGGCCTCGTACATGTCCACTAGGGTAGGTGGATATTCTTTCAACATGTGATATGCCGTATAAAAGCCTGCGGGCCCACTGCCGATTACGGCCAGACGGAACGGTGCCGAAGAATATCGGGCTTTATTACAAGATGAACTTATAGACAATAACTGCTTTTTCAAAAGATTTTTGACATTTTCAGCGCGAAATAATGGACATGTTCCAAGCATTGCTCGTAAAAACTGGAGTTTTTTTTTTTCGTTGTTGAAAGCTGGCATATTTATGTTATTATTTCTATCACATGACCGGATGCTTGTGCGACACCACAACCAAATTAAAGTTTTTTTTTTTTCTTAATAACGAGACCAGTCACTCCCCTCGTCCAAAAACGTCCGCGATGTCGACAGTACAACCTTCTGCAGGCCCGGTATACGGAGTACCTCCAGCCTACGGGTCTTCCCAACAAGTAATTCCTACACCAGTGGCACCTCCACCAACACCCAAACAACCGCCGTGCACAACACCTAACAATACTATCTACATCAACAATTTGAATGAAAAAATAAAGATTCCTGGTATTGCTTTGTCGAGCGATCTATTGTTTTACACCTTGTAACGTTCTTCGTTTTCACTCATTCAATCCACTTTAATAAATAATCAGCTTTGAAAAAGACCTTACAAACAATCTTCGAGCAATACGGTGAAATTTTGGATATTGTGGCGCGCGACACCCTGAGGATGCGCGGACAGGCATTCGTTGTCTTTAAAGAACAAGAAAGTGCAGTCAACGCGATTAAAGGAGTCCAAGGATTTGCATTACAAGGAAAACCGATGGTATTCGATCACTACATTTATGTTCCAATAATTGACGTTGATTGTTCTATACTCTAATCGAACATGTTTGGTACGTGCAAAGGTCATACAGTTCGCCAGAACAAAATCAGATGCTATTGCAAAGCTAGATGGAACCATGGAAGAACACAAGCGACAAAGAATGGAAGCCAAAGGTATGCACATAATGTTGTAATTGGAAATGAAAACAAACCTAATGATATTTCACTTGATCATCCAGAAAAACGAGCCAAGGAGCCACCCATGAAGAAATTTAAATCCAACAATTCATCACTACATTCATCGGGATCATCAAGCAATCCCAGTGGAGGTAAGATACCTTTCACGTCTTCGACATTACTATCACTACGTAAAATTCTCAAGTTAATTTTATTTTTCAGCGCAACTATACCATTTCGGACATCAGTCTGCGACAGGAAACATTCCGGATGAATATCTTCCACCAAATAACATCCTCTTCCTGCAGAACTTGCCAAGTGACATCACGGGGGCCGTTCTTACTGCTTTGTTTGAACAGTAAGCGATCTCTTTTCGTCGCATTAATCAAAGCTCATTTGCACGTTTACTTATCACCACGACTAATAATGAATAGATATCCTGGGTTCAAAGAAGTTCGTTCAATTCATCCCGCAAAGGGCATAGCATTTGTTGAATATGACAATGAGCCTCAAGCCATGATTGCGAAGGAAGCTTTGACTAATCATCTCATATCACCAGATCACAAGCTCAAGATTACATACGCAAAAAAATAAAATTCAGAAGGATGGGTCGGTTTGTAGTTCTGGTTGTTCTCTAAAATTTCAAATTTATTTTTCGTGGGGATTCAATTTATATGAATCGCGTCAATTTGTTGTTGAATTCGCGATTCCTAAAGGTACGTCGAATTGACGTTAAGAAATTGGAAAATTTGACTACTAATATTGATTCAAGAGACTTCTCAAGATACCAAAAGAGGCGGGGACCACTTAACTACGCGCACATAATATTCCATTATGCGCGGTTAGAACAACTAATCTGGATTAATCATGTGACTATTGGTATAGCGCACTCGCACATTTTTATAAGATCATTATTATTGCTTTAATGTCATGCACATTTTGATTTATTTATGGGTAAAGCATTATTTGGTATAATGACACGCATAGAATCTCTCAAGTTGAATAATCGCTTTTCATAAAGTTAAGTATTATGTTGCTTTCTAGATTGATATCCAAAAAAATAAAGATATTCGAATTTTTTTTGTAAATTGTCAAATATAAAGTCAACGTAAACAAATATTTAATATCCACACGCTTGCCACATATACTTGAGAAATTTTCAAATTATGAACTGGATACGTTGAATTGCTGCAGCACTATTTTTTTTTTTCAAACTGATGTGCAACATAAACCGATTATAAATTCCGTGCTTCTATTGGACAGTTAGCCCAAATCTTATTGGTCGATCGATATATCTAACACCTTAACAAGAAAATTTTTTCTTCCTCTCTCAAATTGTCTGCGTATTGTCAGGTAAATAGAAAAACGGATTTCATAATCGCGATCTTGAAATTGTCGCACGTTTCTATTCACGATGTGACCCAATCATCAAAAGCAATTCCACCATAAATTTCAAAAATTACTGGTTGATCTCTTCAATAATGTTTCCTTGGAGTTTTTTTGATATAACTTTTAACAAAGTTCTACCATTTCTTCCCGAATTTTCAGGATGCAGATCTTTGTCAAGACAGATAAAACCGTCACCCTCGAGGTGGAGTCAATCGACACGATTGATGCTGTCAAGGCCAAAATTCAAAGTAAAGAAGGTAAGCTTTACCCTAATCAGAAATAGTAAACATTACTAAATACCTTCAACAAATAAACGTTTTTTCAAAGCAATTTTACTAAAAAAAACTGTTGATTTTTATACACATGGTAGGAATTCCGTCTGATCAGCAACGATTGATATTCTCTGGCAAGCAGGTAATGTGATGATGATGATGCCGTGTCAATTTTTATCGATTCATCTGATATCCTATTTACTCTAGTTTCAATTGTTTGCGAAATTTAGCTTCAGGATGATCACTCCCTTTCTTATTATGACGTTCAGAAAGAATCTACTTTACATCTGGTACTTCGTTTGCGGGGTGGCGCTAAGAAACGTAAGAAGAAGACTTACACCACACCGAAAAAAGTCAAGCACAAGAAACGAAAGGTTAAGTTGGCCGTTCTCAAGTATTACAAGGTTGACGAAAATAATAAAATTACTCGGCTTCGCAGGTAGGTTATGTTCGAAGTTCAAACAAACAAATATACTATACAAATTAATTTAAAATGACGTATTCTTTATTCTAGGGAATGCCCAAACCAATCATGCGGTGCAGGTATTTTCATGGCATGGCATTACGATCGTCAATATTGTGGAAAGGTAACATTAAAACTTTTAATTACTATTATTATTTTTTTATTACATTAAACAATATTGAGTGATCACGATTTGTTGCATTTAGTGCGGGCTAACGTACGTTTTCAAGAAAGAAGACGCAGAGGCTTGAAAATTCATGATCATAAAATTGAATACGATGTTATAGACGTCTTATTTTTTTTTTTCTTTAATTATTTGATGTTCCCTTCTGGCCTTTAAAAGGTGATGGTGAAAACGCATCGAGATTATATGATAATAATTAATCGTAAGAATTGAAATTCAGATGACTTTGATTAAAGATACAAATCGCTTCCCAACATGACAATGTGGACTATTTATTAAGGTCCCACAAAATGAATTAACATTATTGATTATTATTAAATAACGATGCATAAAAGTAATATTAAATTATTAACTAAGAACTAGAATTACTAGGGTTTAACTTTTCCTGATCATCATCTTCAGCTACCATTTCATCATAATCTTCAACAATACTTTCTCTACTTTTTTCACTATCATTGACCTCAGAAGAAAAAATTTGATTCCCATCCTCCGACCCATACTTTTCAAGAAATCTTCTTTTAGCCTGTTCCACTGCCATTGACATTTTTCGGTAAATGTACCATGCAGCAAAAGCGAATAAAGACAATCCAACCGCAACAGATACGTAATTGATTATACGAGATGTCTGATCCATTTCCGCAGAGAGATTCCGAAATCTCGAACCAATGAAAACAAGTATCAACAATTTTACCAAGCTGATAGCAGTGGCAAGAAAGAAATCCCGAAAGTTAATAGATTGAACTGACGCGAAAAAAGCATTCGAATAAGGATAAGGAAACGGTGTCAAACGCAGTAACAAGATGAACTGTGATCAAACAAAAAAATTTTTCGAGTCTTAATTACATTAATAAAATGAAATGACAACGGAATGTGTAAAAACACGCGAACCTTGAATCCGCCTTCTTCGATAGCCATTGATAATTTCTGAAAATTTCCTCCCTTGTTTGCAAGCTTTCTAGCGTACCCGATACATAGGGAGCGACATATGCTTATTTTTTGTACAA